AATGGGAGAAAATTTTTGCAAATGAAACCGACAAAGGCTTGATCTCCAGGATATATAAGCAGCTCATACGACTGAATAAGAAAAAAACAACACAATCCAAAATGGGCAGGAGACCCAAACAAGCAATTCTCCAATGAAGACATATGAATGATCAATAGGCACATGAAAAAATGTTCAATATCCCTAATTATCAGAGAAATGCAAATCAAAACTACAATGAGGTATCACCTCACACCAGTCAGAATGGCCATTTTTCAAAAGTCCACAAATGACAAATGCTGGAGAGGTTGTGGAGAAAAGGAAACCCTCCTACACTGTTGGTGGGAATGCAGTCTGGTGCAGCCACTGTGGAAAACAATATGGAGATTCCTCAAAAGACTAGAAGTAGACTTACTATATGACCCAGTAATCCCACTCCTGGGCGTATGTCCAGAAGGAACCCTACTTCAAAAAGACACCTGCACCCCAATGTTCATAGCAGCACTATTTACAATAGCCAAGTCATGGGAACAGCCTAAATGTCCATCAACAGATGACTGGATAAAGAATGTGTGGTATATTTATACAATGGAATACTATTCAGCCATAAAAAAGACAACATAATGCCATTTGCAGCAACGTGGATGGACCTGGAGAATGTCCTTCTAAGTGAAGTAAGCCAGAAAGAGAAAGAAAAATACCGTATGAGATCACTCATATGTGGAATCTGAAAAAAAAAAAAGAGACAAATGAACATAAATACAAAACAGAAACAGACTCACAGACATAGAATACAAACTTGTGGTTGCCGGGGGGAGAGGGTTGGGGAGGGACAGACTGGGAGTTTGAAATTTGTAGATACTGACAGGTATATACAGAATAGATAAACAAGATTATACTGTATAGCACAAGGAAATATATACAAGATCTTGTGGTAGCTCACAGCAAAAAAAATGTGACAATGAATGTATCTATGTTCATGTATAATGAAAAATTGTGCTCTACACTGGAAATTGATACAACATTGTAAACTGACTATAATGCAATAAAATAAAATTAAGGAAAAAAAAGGAATGAGATGAAGGTAGCACTATAAATGCAGAATGAAGAATGATGACCCCCAAGCCTGAGATCAGGGAAGGGGTCAGAAAGGAGACAAGTCTTAAGACTGAAGAACACGACTCAGGCAGAGCTACAGGCAGGTGTGCATAGTAAGCCCGCCAGACTTCGGCGCAGCCAGCAGAGGCAGGGAGGCGGGATGGACAACACACTGGGACTGAAGGACAGGGTGCGTGCTGGGGCGGCAAGATATCCTGTCTTCCTTTTCCTTCCCGGGTTTTCACCTTTCAAAACTACAGGCAGCCCTGTGCTCATTGCCTCAAGGCAGAAGTCACAGGCAACCTGGGACTCCACAGGGCATGTTTCCAAAGTCTGAACCTCTTGCACCTAGGGCAAAATTTCCAAGAAAGGTGTTTGGCTCACGAAATGAAGGGACTGTCCTAGAAAGAGCTTTCTCTGGGCTGTGGAGGTAAAAACAAGCAGAGGTCTGGGAGTCCCATGACAGAGGCCATTCACAACAAGGCAGGAAGAACCGCCTGGGATGCAGCCGGATCCCAGAAAGGGGATGTGGTACCTCCAGGCAGGTGCAATTCTACACGGCTGCCCAGGTGGAGTCCCAGCTAGTCTGGATGCAGCAGAGAGCTTCCAGGAAAACGCTCCATAACCAGGGAGATTTCGCCTAACACTGTGACTCCCATGAGAAAAAGGGAGGTTAAAGTTTCCTGAGACTCAGTAAAGTGGAGGCTCAAAATCAAAGCTATTTTTCATATACCTGGGTTTGAGGACTGAGATTCAAACCAGCTCCCCTACAGAGGGGTTAAAGGTACAGGTGAAAAGTTCAGGAGGAATAAATGGACTTGAATCTGAGCTCCTCTGCGGACGGTCACAGGTGAGCAGTCTCTAAGACGGCTCCTTAATGATCCCCAAGCCCTCGGCATTCACACCCTGGCTGGCCCCTCCCTCCCTGCACAGGGACCGGTCGGTGTGAGACCAATAGTTCACGGCAGAAGAGATGACCTATCACTTCGAGGATCAGCTCTGTCTTGAGCGCTCACTCTCTTCCCGCTCACCCCGCATCACTCTCTCTGGGAGATGCGAGCTGCCACGTTGTGAACGGTTCTAGGAAAGGCCCGAGCTGTAAAGAACTGAAGCCTCTGGACAACAGCCAGAGGAGAACTGAGATCCTTGATCCAACAGACTGCAAGTAACTGAGGCTGCCCATGACCACGTGCGTGAGCTTGGAGGCACAGATTCTCCACCCTCACTCAGTCTTCCAGGTGATTGCAGCCCCAGGTGGGAGCTTGACGGCAACCTCCTGAGAGACGCTGAACCAGAACCCCTTAGGCTAAGCCGCTCCCAGGTTACAGACCCTTCAAAATTGTGAGATAACATTTGGTGTTTTAACCTGTTAGGTTTGGGGGTAATCTGTTACACAGCAATAGATGACTGATACAGCCCCTCCTCACTAGGTGAAGTGGGTGCTGAACCTAGTACCTTAGGTACTGGCTGACTGGCCAGCAGCCAAGTACAGAAGAGTTGTCCTTTTTCTGCCCAGATGATGCCACTGACCATCTGCCAGAGAAGCTGATTCAGGGGAGAGAAGAGGATGAGGCAGAGAGTTGGGGACGGAGGCTGAGATACGCTCTGTACCAGGCACTCCTGGGTGTGACAGAACAAATCTTGTACGGGAACTGCATGTCAGCAGAGGGGTGCTTGCCTTCACGGCTTACGCCAGTGCAGGAACCGAGAGTTCCCAGGCCAGCTTTAAGCCAAAGCCCCATAGGCTGGGCAGCCCAGAAACACGCTCTGGGTGATTCAAGGTAAAGACTGATTTTTAAGAGCAGCAAATCGTTGCTAGTCACTTCTTCCCTCCCACTCTTTTTTTTTCTTTTTAACACAAAAGGGAAACTTTTGCTGCTTTTTTTTTTTTAATTGCCTAGAGCCTTAGCATCTGCCCCCTTGTCATTGGGAACTATTACGGCACTTGGTGATTTTTAAAGTAGCCATTAATCCCTTAGCTCTACACTCACTGTGATGACAAGCCAGAAATGATTACAAACTGGAACATCAAAGGGTTAACCCAAGACTTCATCTCCTGACATTCGTTCTCCATGGTCTATGAAGCTGGTGGACCCAAACTGAAGACCCTAGAACCCAGGAGAGAAGTTGGGGTGGGGGAGCCTGGAATCCAGCCCTCTCTGGAGAGATTTCCAGTGGCCCCTCTTCTGTACGTACATCTTCTGCCTTGAGACACTTTCCACAGGAGGGTACTTCCAAAATTCCAAAACAGTGCCAGTGTCCTCCCCGAGTCACAGGTTGTAGGCAGTGCCGCCCCTGCTAACTGTTTCCACTGGGAAAGTTTACAATCCAAAACAAAATCACTTTAGATCCCGAGACTTAAGAAGACTCCTCTATATTAGCACAGGGCTTCCTCTCGAGAAGGTACATTCACATCACCTTCACTCTGATGACTGCTCATGGTAACCTTGTGGCAAGGCATCCACTCACACAGGACTGAGCTTGATTTTAAACTCTTAGCTGGAAGCAGGAAAGCTGAGAAGTACTTAATGTGAGCTTGTGGAATCGGGGCAAGGGCAGCTCACGAGGAGTGGACTTTGTCAAGCGTTAGAAAGGTCAAAGTAAATGACCAGTGTCGGGTGTTTGGATGGGCTGAGCTGGGCTGATCCGCTGGCAGGGAGGAGCTCTGGCTTCCTAATGGTAGGAAAAGGAAGAGGTTTGGGTGGGCAAGGAGGAGTGGAGAGCAAGCCAACCAAAGCAGGAGCTGGGAGTGGTGTGGAGACGGCTCTTCCCTGGCTCTGTGGATGGATTTGAACACCTGCGGGTAGGGGAATATGGGCCACCAGCTTTCTATAGAATCCAATCTGTGACATACACATTGGCCTTGTCAGAACTTTGTTCCACTCAGGATCACTCCCAAAAATCTGGGGAAAAGTTATCTCTGTCTTGGGCTTGAAGAGAAACAGAAAGATTTTGTGTCACTAGAGTAAGCCTAGGATCGTGAGGCTCTGAAAGTTTGATTCTGTACAACAGCTAGCCAATTTCCTTTACAACAGCTAGTCAATTTCCTTCAGTCTTGGGTGTGGTGTCTGCCATCTGTTTCTTTCAAGTTACCACGAGCACTTTAAAGTGTGGGAGCTGGTATCTGGTTAGCGTGAGGCTTAGCCATGCTGCCAGAGCCGGAGGCTGTCTCAAGTGTCACTTTCAGTAAGAACTTACCAGGGGTTTTTCCAGAGATACCACTTCCCTTCACAGTCAGACCACACACCTGGAAAGATGTTTTTAGGAGCCTCCTCCTATAGGCAATCATTCCAAGGCCTCTTCACACTTGAAGATGCTTATTTCCACAGGGAAGTGGTTCTCAGCTTACTCTCAAGATAAAATTATAAGAACCCCAATGCACAAAATAGGTCCAAGTGGCAATTTTGATTAAATGAGGGAACGTGGCATCAAAGTCCCACCAAACCTAGTTAGAAACCACGCGGTAACATGAGATGGAATCTTTGAAAGTGATCAGATGGGTCCCCTTTATCTTGTTACCCATGCTGATGTCTATTTTGTTTTTGTAGAATGATAGCCAGTTATTGGGGGTCTACGGCCCTGGGACAAGCAAAGTCTCCAGGTCCAGCTAAAGCACTGTGGGGAGACGCCAGGGGAGACCCAGCCAAGTCTTATCCGGTGCCAGTGATGGCAAAATCCAGGGTCTGCTGAGTGGTTGTCCACATTGCCACTGGCATGTCCTTCAGGGAACCAGTTCTGTGATGTTATTTGGGGTACTGCTCCTGGCTATGGAGCCTCCAAATCTGATTTTTTTGTCTTTCTTGCCAATGACTTTCTTTTCTGCTTAATTTAGCCAGCATCGGTTCTTGGAACCCAAAACCTGATGCTGATCCAAGAGACAGACAAAGAAAGGGAAAGTTATGGCAGTAAGAAAGACTCATGACACTGGAGGAATAACCCGCCCAGACTTCAGACAATACTACAGAGCTACAGTCATCAAAACAGTATGGTATTGATACAAAAACAGACACTGATCAATGGAACAGAATAGAGTGCCCAGAAATAAACCCACAAACTTTTGGTCAATTAATCTTTGACAAAGGAGGCAAGAACATAAAATGGAGTTAAGACAGTCTCTTCAGCAAATGGGGCTGGGAAAACTGGGCAGCAGCATGGAAATCAATGAGGTTAGAATACTCCCTCATAGCATACACAAAAATAAACTCAAAATGGCTTAAAGATTTGAACATAAGACAAGACACTATAAACCTCTTAGAAGAAAACATGCAGAACATTATCTGACATAAATCTCAGCAATGTTCTCCTAGGGCAGTCTACCCAGGCAACACAAATAAAAGCAAGAATAAACAAATGGGACCTAATTAAACTTACAAGCTTTGGCACAGCAAAGGAAACCATAAGTAAACAAAAAGACAACCTACGGAATGGGAGAAAATATTTGCACATGATGCAACTGACAAAGGCTTAATCTCCAGAATATACAAACAGCTCATACAACTTAAAAGAAAAACAAACAACCCAATCCAAAAGTGGGCAGGAGACCCAAACAAGCAATTCTCCAATGAAGACATATGAATGATCAATAGGCACATGAAAAAATGCTCAATATCCCTAATTATCAGAGACATGCAAATCAAAACTACAATGACACATCACCTCACACCAATCAGAATGGCCATCATTCAAAAGTCCACAAATGATAAATGCTGGAGAGGGTGTGGAGAAAAGGGAACCCTCCTACACTGCTGGTGGGGCCGTTACAGATAACAGTATGGAGATTCCTCAAAAGACTGAAAATAGACTTACCATATGACCCAACAATCCCACTCCTGGGCATATATTCAGAAGGAAACTTAATTCAAAAAGACACCTGCACCCCAGTGTCCATAGGAGCACTGTCTACAATAGCCAAGACATGGAAACAGCCTAAATGTCCATGGACAGATGACTGGATAAAGAAGATGTGATTATATTTATACAATGGAATACTACCAGCCACAAAAAATAATAAAATAATGCCATTTGCAGCAACATGGATAGACCTGGAGAATGTCTTTCTAAGTGAAGTAAGCCAGAAAGAGAAAGAAAAATACCATATGAGATCACGTATATGTGGAATCTAAAAAAAAAAAAAGAGAGAGAGAGAGACAAACGAACTTACTAACAAAACAGAAACAGACTCATAGACATAGAAAACAAACTTATGGTTACTGGGGGGAAGGGGGTGGGAAGGGATAAATTGGGAGTTTGAGATTTGCAGTACTACTGTATATAAAATAGATAAACAGTAAGTTTATACTGTATAGCACAGGGAACCATATTCAGTATCTTGTAGTAATTTATGGTGAGAAACAATATGAAAATGAATGTGTGTATGTTCATGTATGACTGAAGCATTATGCTGTACACCAGAAACTGACACAAGATTGTAAACTGACTATACTTCAATAAAAATGTATTTAAAAAAAAAAGACTCTGAAGTCTCCCAAAACAGAGCTCTGCATCTGCTTGGTGCCCCCTTTCCCCCCTGTAGGGAACCCTCCGTTTCCAGTGGCTCAGGGTCCTGTTTGGTGAGTTGTTCTCAGTCTGAGCCGTGAGCACTGTCTCAGGGCGGGGCACGTGCCTGGAGGAGGTGCCGGGGCAGAGACAGAAGAGCCACGGTCCTGAGGGACTAGCTGAAAGGTGGAGGGTGAGTCTCTATGCTAATGAACATAACCAGAATAATGGTCCAAAACAGCCACTTCAAAATAGCCTTCTGCAGCAGGTACCTCGGATGACCTCCTGCCTAGGTTTTGCTCCCTGAAAGTGGAGCTGAGACAAAACTTGTTTGCTGGTCATGAACTTGACAAGGGTTCTGGGGATGAGCAGTGAGGGGAAGGGCGGCGTGAGGTGAGGAGGAGGGAAAGCCACCCACAGACACGTCCTCATCACTGAGCTGGTCACACTGTGGGCCACTGGGGTTGGGGTGTCCCGTGGGGCCATAACCCTCACCCATGTGGGTTGTGTGTAGAGCCGTGTCAAGGTGGGCTCCCACAGCCCCCCG